AAAAAAAAAAAGAAGTTGGCTTATCCGGGACTATTTGGACATGATTCAGTAGAGGAAGGCCAGATGCTTCCCATTTGGCAAACACTCCTTAGTGAAGGACAAGGAGACACTGGTATCACAGTTCCCAACTGGCCCTTCTGTTCCCCTTTATCAGCATTCAACTGGTCCAAACAAACGAGTTTCACATGATTAGCATTCAGGCCACTTACTTAAATCTACACTGTAATGTGTGTTTATATATTTGGGTACTGAAAATGTTTCTTCTGAGTTATCTTGTACATAAACTAAAATCTTACAGACACTTAACATAACTAAAATCTCATTGTAGTATAAAAGATTTGCAATCACAAGTCAGCTAGTTAAACAAATCTGATCTCCTTTTATAATAAGAACTAAAGCAGTAGGTGAACATTCCACTCACAACATCTGAGTCTCATTGGACTGACTTAGTGCTCTAGTATAACATGCACTTCCCACATCACCCACTGACCAATTTGGCTTCCTTCTCGGTGAATTCCCTCTTCAGCGTATCTTCTTCCTTTTGCACCTGCTCTTTTAACACTTGCTGGTTCTTCTTCTCCTGTTCAACCGCAGCCTTCAGGGAATCCACTTTTCCCTGAAGCTCTAATTTCTGCTGACTCAAGAGCTGTTTGGCTTCCTTGAGATTTGTTATCTCCTATTAAAAAAAAACAAGGCCAAATAGAAATCATTTTAAATTTAAATAATTCCAACAGTAGCTGAAATTCATGTGGTTTCTCACACAATGCATCTAATATGAACTTTAATCACTTATAATATTCTTAAAGTTTGCTATTTCAAAGAATTAGTTAAAGAGATGCAAGATTATTCACTTCCTGTTCAACGGTGATTTAAATTCGGGTGACAGCATGCATATAATCTAATTAAATTGTGTGAATGATTTCTGTCCTCTCCTTTCTTTGGTTCACTTAGCATGCATTTTATTGATCATTGCACGTAGTGGTACAGTCTGGAGATTAATAGCAAACAATACATTCTTTGCTTCAAATAAGTAGCAGTGTAGAAGAACAGAACGACTCAGACATAATTACAAAGTAAAATGGTGGGTCTACTGATTGACACATTAGATATTACTAGGAGAGTTTTCAGGACCTTTCATTAAGAAATGAATATCCTTATACAAAGCAAATGATATTTCATTTTCAACTGGCACCCAGCCTATGCTTATGCCAGGTAAAATGCTCTAAGCAAGAGATCATTAAAGAATCTAAGAGGAAAAATAACTGAAAATCAAAACAAAATATAAGTCCTTAAAATCTTATTTCTAAACTCTTGTGTTTTGAAGTAACATTTACTATATTACTAACATTTGAAATAACATTCTACATTCAATATCTTTTTCTACAATCAACATTTTATAAAATAACTCTCTTGATTATAATTTCAACAGAATCTAAACTCTTGAGATTACTTTGATTTATTCAGTAATCTGAAAACAAAACAAAAAGGTAAACATAGTTTCAGATGTACAGATATTACACAACGTGAGAGCACTCTGGCAAACATATCTATCAAGAAAACAATAAAACAATACACATATACAATGCAGTGATTATTGCATATGGTCTTCCAGTCATAGTCTTTATTACTCTCAAAAAACAACTTTCATTTTTCTGATGGGCCGGGGAAGGTGAGGGAAGAGATACTGATTGTACTATGACTCAGCTGTGAGTGATTGGTAACATAGGCATTCTGACTGCCGTCCTACTGGTGTAAAATAAAAGGAGGGGGAAATCTCGTTAACAGCAAGAAAGAAGAGACAAGGGTAGGGTACGGAGTATGGTATGTCCTTTGGACCCTGAGATCCCTGTGCATGGAACCTCTTTATTCCAGGAGGCAGTTGTGCCCCTACAAGAGGTGCAGAGGAGCAGCATGAGACAGAGTGGTGAGCTTTCCAGCCCACATAATAGATGAGGTTGGGTGCTTTTGGTCAGGAGAATGACTTGTGGAGTAGCAGACTTAATTGGAGAGCTGGGTTTGCTAACCCATGGAGCTGGAACTGGGTGCCTTCAGGATGAGGGTTACAGTGGAATGGCATGCCCCTTCCGCATTTACTGGCAGCCCCCAAATGTACTTTGTAACATTGCCAAGCAGGGTACAGGCCAGGCCAGGAGACTGAGGGTCAGAGAAGAAACTGTCCTGACTACCCTTGCCTCACCTGACCATTTCTGACCTGAATTGTAGCCTCACTCCCCTAATAAATTAACCCCGTAATCTGAGCATTATCTGTCAGTTCTGTGTGGCCATTGCAATGAATTACCAAACCCAGCAGCAAAGTAGAGTGCAGGGAAAGTGAAGTGTGTGGGAGACAAAGAAGACTGATATTTTTATTTACAGAAAGTAATACAACATAAGAGGAAAAACAAATGTTATCTTAACATACCTTCAGGCTTTCTTGCTTGTGAGAGTTAAGCTGCTCACTCAGTGTGGCCATTTCTCTCTCTTGTCTACCCTTTATTTCCTCTATCTCTACCAACTTAGATTTCACCTTGACTAATTCTTTTTCTATCAGTGACTGTAGAAAAATGATTAAAATAATATAAAAACAGTTAGTTGAAAAATTAATGCAATAAAGACATTTATGATCTTGGCTCTGCCCTTTTCCACCTACCATATATGCTGTGTATAAGCTGGGGTTTTTTCAGCATGTTTTTTATGCAGTTTTTGTGGTAAAATTAGGTGCCGCGGCTGATATTCGGGTCAGCTTATACTCGAGTACATATGGTAGTTAATCTGTGGAAAATACCCTCTTGCCTCCGTTTCATTATTTGTTCATGTGAACAATAATAAAACTGTGAGCTTTAACAGTTGCACTTAATACTGCAACACTGAATAGTATTTGACCAGAGCAAAACTATATATATATATATTTGCTAATTTATATATATATGTGTGTATATATATATATACATATATATAAATTAGTCATTGTTATTCTTATTAATATTATCTTTATATGTCATTTTATCAATATCTTTATATCAGTCATCTAATTAGAGTATTAGACATTATCTCATCTATTAGAAGCATTCATTCCCATTTAATAGGTAAAGGAACAAATGTTTAGAGGGTTGAAATAATCCAAGTATGTAGGTTTGTCTGATATAATATTATTGCGATTAAGCTTCTGTAAGTTCTATGAAATTTTTCGAATCTTCCGGTACAAATCTTAACATTTCTCCAGTTTCACTGCAATTTCACCATCTCCACCTCCACAAAGACAGCTATAGTGAGTGCTCTCTTAATAAAAGAGAATGTCAGGAACTGTGCAGTTCAGATCACACCAATAACTTCAGGAGCCGCACTACTTGTGCAGCGGGTGTCCTGGGGACACAGGGGTAAGCACTCAGCGGCCAACCAGCAGGCAGTGATTTGAAGGCACCAGAAGCTCCAGGAGAGAAGGACTGGGCAGCCTGCTTCCAGAGATTCTGATCTGGGAACCTCTGGGCACTTCTCTCTGCCCTACAGGGTTGCTAGGGATTAGAGTGAACTGATAGCACACAACAACTGAGATAAACAGTTTCAATTATAAAACCAAAGATAAAATTTTTCCTAAAATCTGAATTTATTTCCCATATAGAATTACAGATACATTTTTATATGTTAGTCATTTAAACCAATACTTTCAACTTTATAATTTAGCATTTTTATACATAGATACGTATGTATTTCAAATTCACCTCCATTTTCCCACAGAAAAAGCTGGTACTTAATAATTCTTAACACATTTAAGTGCTATTTTAGACCTATATCATTTTATTCACACAATTAGAGAACAGCATGCTAGTTGACAAAGAGTTGAGGGGCAAGTATATGTTTTAAATAACTAAAGATATCTGATGAGAAAACACATTTGATTCTAACACTCAAAGGAGCAATAAGTATTTCTTAGCATCAAATTTCGAACTACCAAACTTTTATCTATTTTTTATCAAAAACTAGAGGGCCATCTGACAAGCTGCTGACAGTAACGGGCAGGGGGGTGATCTCTATGGTCACTGCACTCTACCGTTCTAGCTACGGTCAGAGAAGTAGCATACCTTTTCTTTCCTCGTGTCTTGTAGTGCTTTATCCTGCTCCTTCAACTGCTGTGCTTTCGCAGCTGAGGCCTGCTCCAAAGCGCCCTTGGTAGTCTTCAGTTCTTGAATCAATTTATTTTGGTTTCCAATTTGATTTCTGTTTGAAATCAAGTCCTCCTGGGCTAGAGAAAGCTTCTCTTCTACAGACTTATAAAAACATATCCCCAAATTACTGTGGCTATGTTTCAACGAATTTCAACAGAAGCACAATAGCTAGTATGAATGTATACAATGGAATGTATTAGCTAGTATAAATATATACAATGGAATATATTACACTATCAAAAGTTTCAGAAAGCTTAAATAAAGGAGAAAGACTTCTAGATTATTAGCTCTTTTGCATATAACAAACATGTGTAAAATTCAAATCCCTAGAACTAAAGCAACTTCAGAACCGTGAAAAAAATCAATCTATAAGTATGTACTGAATGTTTATCCTATCTTCAATGGGTAATCCTCAAACTCAAGTTGGGACCATATCAGATACACTTAGAGAATACGGATCATCTCAACCAAGGGTGAGAGAAGGAAACCATTTTTTAAGTTACACGATGCATACACGTATGTCTTATAGGACCTGTTATAATCCTTGGCATAGTAACAATCTTTAGTAAGTATGATGGGTTTTTTCTCGGGTGGGGGGGGTGGAACGACTGTATTTCAATTTTCTTTGCTTTTTGTGACATGTCTTGGTCCTGCAGACATATTTTTGCCTTAGTGAATGAGTATTATTGAAAATTTTGCCTTGTGTCTAACCTGCATTACTTTCTTAAATAGAATTCAGTTATTTATGTTTTTAACCATTAGTGAACATCTCATGTCATTCAGGCTAAAGAGTCCCTGTATATATATTTTCCTTTCTCACTAAAATGTGATATTCTATACCATTGGCTGGATGAATGATAGTGTTGTTGTTGTTGTTGTTGTTGTTAGGTGCCATTGAGTCCATTCCAACCCACAGCATCCAAGCCATAGCACAACAGAATGGAACACTGCCCGGTCCTGCACCGTCCTCACAATCATTCCTATACTTGAGGTCATTATCGCAGCCACGGTGTCAATACATCTTGTGGAGGGACTTCCTCGTTTCCACTGCCCCTGTACTTCACCAGATATGATGTCCTTTTCTGAGCGCTGGTCTCTTCTGACAACATGTCCAAAGTATGTAAGACAAAAAGTCTCACCATCCTTGCTTCTAAGGAGCCTCTGGTCACACTTCTTGCAAGACAGATTAGTTTGTCCTTTTAGCAGTCTGTGATACATTTAATATTCATCTCCAGCACCCCAATTAAAATGCATTGATAATTCTGCAGTCTTCATTCAATGTCCAACTGTCACATACACATAAGGCAATTGAAAATACTTTGGGTCAGGCATACCTTACTCTTCAAGGCTAACAGCCTTTCTTTACAATATTCTAAAGATGTCTTGTCCAGCAGATTTGCCTAATGTAACTCATCTTTCGATCTCTTGACAATTGCTTCCATGAGAATTGCTTGTGGGTCCAAGCAAGAAAATATCCTTGACAATTGCAACTTTTTCTCTATTTATCATGGTTACTTATTGGTCCACTGTGAGGATTTTGGTCTTCTTTACATTGAGCTGTAATCCATACTGAATGTTACAATCCGTGATCTCCATCCGCTAGTGCTGATGAAGCACTCCTTACTTTCAGCAAGCATGGTTATCTGTATATGGAAGGTTGTTAATAAGCCTTCCCCCAATGTTGAAGCCATTCTTCTTCATATAATCCAGCCTCTTTGATGATTTTCTCAACATACAGATCGAACAACTGTGGTGAGAGGATGCAACCCTGATACACACCTTTCCTGACTTTAAACCAGGCTGTTCCATCTGCACAACTGCTTCTTGATCCATGTACAGAGCTCAATGAAGTGTTCTGGAATTCCTCTTCTTTGTTATGATTCGCATAATCGAGTGCCTGGGCATCGTCCATAAAACACGCTAAACGTCTTTCTGAAGGCCTCTGCTTTCAGCCAACATCCATCTGACATCAGCAATGAGATCCTTTGTTCCCTGTCCTCTTCTGAATCCAGTCTGAACCACTGGCAGATCCCTGTCCGTTTTTGGATGTTCTTCAGCAACTTTTCCTTGTATGTGCTATTAATGATATTGTTCTATAATTTGAGCATTCTGTTGGGCAACCATTATTTGGAATGAGTAAAAATATGGATCTCTTTAGTCACTTGGCCAAAAAATTGTCTTCCAAATTTACTGGCACAGATGAGTGCTTCTAGTGCTTCATTAGCTTGTTGAAGCATATAAATTGGTATCCCATCCATTCCTGGGACTTTGTTTTTTGGTTACTGCTTTCAGTGCAACTTGAACTTTTTCCTTCAGCACTATTGGTTCTTACTCATAGGCTACCTCTTGGAATGGTAGAATATCGTTCTTTTTGGTAGTTACTGTTTGTATTCTTTCCATCTTTTTTTCTCTCTCCATCTTCTCTTGAGGCTTCTTGTACCATTCAATATTTTGACCTTAGATTTTTCAATATTCTAACTTGAATTTTGATTTTTTCTTGTTTCTTGTTTCATTTTAAGGCTAAGCATGTTAGTCCCTTTTGGTTTTCTAACTCTAATTCTTTTCTCATTTTATTATAATATTTGGCTTTGTGTTCTAGAACTTCCTTTCGATACTTCCTATTTAGCACATTGACCTCATTATTTAAAAGCAAGTTTCAGAGTCTCTTCTGACATCCACGTTGATCTTTTCTTTCCTTCCTATCTTTTTAATGACCGTCTGCTTTCTTTGAGAATTATGTGCTTGATGTCCTCCCAGGGGTCATCAAGTCATTAGTGTCCACTGCATCGAATCTCTTCTTGAGAGGGTCTCCACATTAAGTCAGGTGGGATGACTCGAAGTCATAGTTTGGCTCTAGTGGACTTGTTTGAATTTCTTTCAGCTTTTTACTATTATTAGAATTACTAAATATCTCCTGGAGGTTACCGAAATTATTTCTCAACAAGCTAATAATGCTGCTCTAAAGTGGACATACACACACTTCAGATATACAAATAGATGTTTAGCTCACAATTATAAACCCTAATCTAAGAACAATTCGTTCTTACAATGTGGCCTTCCTTAATACTTTCCCTCATGGAGTGATCACTAAAGATATGTGTGCTATATCAGAATGTGGTGAAATAATCAGTTGGTGTCTGGCTATTAGAAATAATAGTGTCCAGAGTCCTAAAGGTTGTCTTAAAATAAGCAGCCATCTAAGGTACCAGCTAAGTCTGCAAGGAAAGAGCACACAAGTGTGTATGATCCAACTCTTGTAAATCATAAAATTCAGGACCAGAGGAGAAAATTGTATTTAAACAAATTCCAGCACCTGGTTTGCAGAAGACAATGGATGGCAGTGAAAGCTCAAATCCAGTTGCAGAGCCTCCACGTGGATTAAGACTCCATTGAATTCCCTTGAACCACTGACCAGGGATGTGAATAGTCTTGTTGCTCTCAGACAGAATACATTTGAAAGTGGATTAGAGAAAGTATAGACTCAAAAGAAAATTCACTTCTATCATGTCAACTCCAACTCATAAGGACCCTATGGGACAAGTTAGAACAGCCCCTTTGGGTTTCTGAGATTATAACTCTTTATGGGAATAGCAAGCCTTGTCTTCCTCCCAAGGAGTAGTTGGTGGTTTTGAACTGCGGTCCTTGTAACCAACAGTCCAACATATCACCCCAATATTTAGTTTCCATTTTGACAAATTTTTAATTTGTTCTATATTCATTCAGATCAAAGTTTAGGTTTTATTTTTTGTTGCCATTGAGTTTTATTTTGGTATGATTCTTCTTTATACGAAACTCAGGATATAAAGGTCAACAAACAGACCTAGAACTATTTATAGGCTTTTCTTTTTTCTTTTTTTGGTAGGTGTTTTTTTTTGTTGCTTTGCTTTGTCTTGTTTTTTGCTTATTATTGTCTCTGCATGCCTATCTAGATAAGATAGGCAGGATAAACATTCCAGGAGAGAAAACAATGGGACCAATGGTTGGCGGGGTGGGGTATGAGAGAGGGGTTGGCAGGGGAAAGGAAGTGGGTGTTAACAAACCCAGGGACATGGGAACAAGTGATCTAAAATCAATGGCGAGGAAGGCA